AGGATAATAAAATTATTATAATAAAAATAGTGTACAAAGTTAAGAGAGTTTTTGGCTAAAATCATCCCTCAATTATGGCTCAAAACTAGAGTACATCCTTCTGTAATAATAGTGAACAAAAAACATCCCTTAGCTATCCAAAAAAAGGCAAGAATCATCCTTCCGTTAATTTCCATTAAGAAACTAACAACTGCAATCAAAACATGTGTCAAGCACGTGACTTCAACCCCTAGCCCCCCACAAAATCTCACTATTTTATCCTTCCTGATCATCTCGTCTTCATCATTCACCGAAGCTTAGGCTTCAAAAACTTATTTTTTTTCAATGTAATAAATATTAAAATATTCAACTTCTATATTAAACAAAAGACTTTCTAGAATTTTGTAAATTCAGTAATATCAGTATAAGTTAATGTGAAAGCTATTGTATATGATATTATCGAATGCTTAAAGAATCTATAATATCAATAATACCATTTTGGGTGTGGATGATTGACCGCTTAAACTTCGAGCCAACATTTATATATTGTTTCTTATGCTTCAATCCACAAGATCTGGTGCTTTTAAGAATGAGGAAGATATTTAGTTTGAGAAATAGCAAAATACTACTCTGGGCGAAAAAAGCCAAAACTTTTTTAATGGCTATTATTGCTTTTACCTTGTTTGTGAGGCGTGTGAAGATAAGTAATGGAGAATAGCCCTAGCTTCAATTCTAGTTCAAGAAAATAACTTATCTTGTTGCTCTAGTTATTTTATGAAGTTAAACGTAGAATAGTATAGCTTTTGAAGCCTAATATGGAAGAGCGGGGTACCTTCGGGAGGGATAGAATAAGGAGTATATGGAGATTTTGGGGGAAGTCATGTGCTTGGCACAAGTTTTGGTTGTAGAAGGATGATTCTTGCCCTTTTTTTATTAGTTAAGAGATGTTTTTTATTCAATATTATTACACAAGGATGTACCCTAGTTTTGAGTAATAGTTGAAGGACGATTTTAGCCAAAAACTCAAGTTAATGAATGTAGAGGATATTTTTGTAAACAATAATTTTTTTTCTAGAAATATGCAATGTTTTAATACACCAAAACAATCAGTAAATAAGAACTAATCTCTGCATAACTAATACCAACATAACTAATCTCAGCATAACTAATGTTAATATAACTAATCTCAACATTACTGCCACCAACATTACTAACATATCTTATTCAACACTATTCTTGTTACCTCCTGTCAAATGACCGCTTAATGTGATATATAAAATCAGACCAAACTCCCTATCATTACCACTCTATTCATTAGAGTACTAATCCCTATTTTATTAATGCCTTAATCTCAATCAGCTTCCTACCTTCATTGTCTCTTGTTTCAGCTCCTTTCTTCTTCTTCTTCTTCTTCTTCTTCTTCTTCTTCTTCTTCTTCTTCTTCTTCTTCTTCTTCTTCTTCTTCTTCTTCTTCTTCTTCTTCTTCTTCTTCTTCGTTTATAAATCACACACTTCTCTTTGAGTTAGCATAATAACAATCACTTGAAGCGCAAGGCCGTTGGTACTATTGTTAGGTATGGCGACAATGATAGTTGATGACACCATCCCAGATTTTGATTATTACGGTGGTTTAAGCACCCCCACCACCACTACCACTACCACCACCACCTCCTTTTCTGATGATGACCGTGATCATGGTTGTACATGGAATGACTGGTCCGCAGTTATTGATTTGGATGCTTTTTCTGGCGGCGATAATTTTCAAGATCTAATTGAATCCATGATCGAAGGGAACAATTCTTCAGGAGGGTTGAATATGAATATCCCAAAATCGACTACTTTTTACAACTCAGAGGATTCTGTGTTGATGGAGGAATCAGAAGAATCGAATAACAATCAATCGGAAGATGTCAACGGGCTGAAGCTTGTTCACTTGCTGATGGCAGCAGCGGAGGCGCTAACCGGCGTGAACAAAAGCCGTGAGTTAGCTCGAGTGGTATTGGTTCGGCTCAAGGAATTGGCTTCCCCTAACGGCTCTACTAACATGGAGAGGTTAGCCGCGCATTTCACCGATGCCTTGCAGGCGTTGCTCGACGGTGCAGCCTCAGGATCTTTACACGCTAAGAGCATGTTTTCTCCTAATTATAAGGACGAGCAGCAACAGGGAGATGTTCTGGCTGCTTTTCAGTTATTACAGGACATATCCCCTTTTGTCAAATTTGGGCACTTCACAGCAAATCAAGCTATTTTAGAAGCCGTGGCTCATGATAGAAGAGTCCATATCGTGGACTACGATATAATGGAAGGAATCCAATGGGCTTCCTTAATGCAAGCCTTGGTGTCCAGAAAAGATGGGCCCCCAACTCCCCACCTTAGGATCACAGCACTGTCGAGGAGTGGCAGTGGTCGTCGGTCGTTCGGGACAGTCCAAGAGACCGGCCGTCGGCTAACAGCGTTCGCTGGGTCCATCGGCCAGCCATTTTCGTTTCACCACTGCAGGTTGGACTCGGATGAGACTTTTAAGCCATCCACGCTGAAGTTGGTCCGAGGAGAAGCTATAATTATAAATTGCATGTTACACTTGCCTCATTTTACCTATCGAGCCTCGGATTCAGTCGCGTCATTCCTATCCGGATCCAAGACCCTGAACCCGAGGCTCGTGACCTTAGTCGAAGAGGAAGTACAGCCCATTGGGGAGGAGGAAGGGTTCGTGGGCCGGTTCATGGACATATTGCACCACTACTCGGCCCTTTATGATTCACTCGAGGCAGGGTTCCCGCTCCAAAGCCGGGCTCGGGCTTTGGTGGAGCGGGTGTTCCTTGGGCCTCGGATAACCGGGTCATTGGCCCGGATATACCGAACCCGAGGAGAGGATGAGAGGTGCTCGTGGGGGGAGTGGTTGAGTGCGGTGGGGTATCGTGAGAGTAATATAAGCTTTGCAAATCATTGTCAAGCAAAACTGCTTTTGGGGCTATTCAATGATGGGTATAGGGTGGAGGAGATTGGCACCAATAAACTCGTTTTGGGGTGGAAGTCCCGGCGCCTACTTTCTGCTTCTATTTGGACCACTCCGGATAGTGACTTGTAATAAATAAATTATATATAATTCATGCAAGTGTGCAAGTTACTATCTGCTGTGTGTGTTGTTATAGTCCTTGTTTGTGTTATATATTTCGTATCGAAACTAGTTTTTCGTGAGGCTTTTCATCGTTTCCTATGCCAAGAATCAACTATGTGTGTGTTTTGGTCCTTTTCCTGTGATATTTCGATTGAAACTAGTTGTTTGTGAGTCCTTTCTTTGATCCCTACGATAAGTTGTTTCCAATGGAGTGGCTGAGTGATGAAAGGAAGCAAAGTTCTTGCTCTATAAAATATTACGTCATGTACTATTTATCTTCCAAGCTTAGATTGACCAATTTGTGAAATTGTTCAGTTTTCATGAAAGTAAAGATTCCGACTGATGATGATTATTCTACAAAAGTAAAAACCTTTTTGAAAATTAGTGAACAAAGCTATAAATCTTGCAGGGATGAATATGAAGATTATAGTCTTACAAAATAATTTACAAGGAAACGAGAAATGTTATGTCCTACTAGTTTGGAAAAATCTAAATGCTGAAATGCGCGATCAAGGCATCTAAAAGTAGTAACATCCGTGAAAATCTTTGGCGCGATTATTTTATAAAGATATAAATTTTTTATTTAATTAAGGTTGACATTTCAATGTTTTAAGATTCCGAGATCTATATTCAAGTACGTGCATTAGTGTTTTGACATTGTATTAGTCAAATTACCCTTTTATGCATTGATTTTTATTCACAATTCACAATACCAACACGTAATACCTGAACTCTCGCTTAGTAGATACTCTTAAGTTCCTAATTGTAGAAAGACTTGCCATTCATTTTGGGTGTGTTATTGGTATAATATAAAGGGAACATTTTCTTGAAAATGTTTTCAAGATATAGGACGTTTTCTGACAACGAACACAAAAATATATTTTATCTTGAAATTAAAAGGAGATAAACGATTTTACTTGCTCATGTTTTTTTTTTGTAATTGTTTATCTGAAATAGTTTCAATATTTATTGAGTAATGGATAGTTAAATAATGTTTCTTCTGAAAATTGTTACGTTGTCCGGAAAAAAATACTCAGAAATATACTCCTTCATATACCAAACTCATATCTTAAGTTTTATCCGGGATGGGGTGGGGTGTGGGGGAAGAGAAGCCTAGGATAGGTGGTAACTCCGCACTCGTAAGCGAAGGGATTGAAGGTAGGGGCGTACCACGAAAATCGATCCCCACACCAAACTGATAAATCGAGTTAAACCGAAAAAAATCCGATAGTGATTTTGTTTGACTTGGTTTGGTATTGAAAAAAGAAATCCGATCATAATTGATTTGGTTTGGTTAGGTTTGATATTAACTAAAGAAAAGTCAAACCGAAACAAAACCAATCCGACATTTTATATATATATATATATATATCCATAATTGCGCTTCACGTTTGACCACGCGCCTCACGCGCAGCAAAATTAGGCGATACCCAAACCTTTGGCTGAAGAAAGGTACGATTACGCTCCAGCCGATGGAGCCGCCGGGCGGCATCATACCGGCGTGTATAGACCATCAGAAAGATCCCCAACCAAGAGCGAACCTACTAGCAGAAGGAATCCCAGCAAAAACATCATATGCTAACACAGTCTCCTCAGCAACCCCAACCCTTCAAGAGCAAGAAGCGGTGATTGCAAGGAGAACAACACATAATGGGATGCCAGCGGTGATTTTCAAGACCAAGGATTACTATGGAGTTATGGCGGCTGAATGCAGGAGAACTATTGTGGGGAGATTCGCCCACAAATTGAAAAAATTAGGTCTCGATTCCTGGAGCGATTTTCGTTGAAGGGGTCGGTCAAGATCGGAGTTTATGACAACTACAACGTCTTTCTGGATTTTACAAATGAAGAAGACTTCAGTACAGTATAGTATAAGAGAGCTGTGGAAATTGAGGGGCACCAAATGTGGCTCCAGAAATGGAGTCCTGACTTCAAACCAGAGGAAGACCTGCCTATAGTTCTAGTATGGATCCTACTTCCAAAGCTACCTTTTCACCTTCATACGTGGCCCTATGTAAAACAAATTGCAAGGGAGGTTGGCACTCCACTGGAAATGGATGTTGCAACGAGGGGGAAAACCAGACCAAGTATGGCCGAAGTTAGAGTTGAGGTGGATCTCCTTAAGCCATTACCTAACCATATTTGGGTTGGTAACGAAGACGACGATTCTCCATTGAAAGGTTTCGAACAAAAACTAGAATATGAAAGTGTGCCCAAGTACTGTAGGCACTGCAGAAAGCTGGGACATGATTTGATAAATTGTAGAGTGGTAGAGAAGATGAGAATTGCTGAGAAGAAAGAAGAGGACAGAACCATGATGCTACAGGAGCATGAAGGGGGAAACAAGGACTCAAGAGAAGAGGGATTGATCCATAACAATAACAAGGCAACCCAAGAAAAGGCAAAGGAAATGGCAACAATGGAAAGAAAACCACCAGAGGATCAGAAGATCAAAGAGATGACCAATATCAAAATGAGATCTAACAGCAAAAAGAAGAAGAAAGCCAAGAACAAAAAGATAACAAAGAAAAAACCGAAGGTCACCTTTAAACCACAAAAGGTGAGGCAAAAGGAGAATGAAGAAAGGAATTTTGCTGGGGATAAACAATCTATTCCGGTGGAGGAAAACAATAACCTTCAAAAGCAGAATGAGGAAAGCAACAACAGTAACAGAAAGGAAGATAATAATAACAGGGATGCCCAGTCTTCTATTAAGGAGCATGAAGTAGATAGGGGAAAAGAACTAGCTGACATCTCTTCAAAGGAAGGCAGAGAGCTAGTATAACCACACAACAAGAACACCAATAGCAACATACAACAAGTAGCAGAATCAAAAATGGATTCCTCTAGCGTGGGGACTGAAATTAGAAACCACCCAGGAATTCAGTTAGTGGTTGACCTTAATGGAGCATCAACAAGGGGGCCTCATCTAAAGGAAACACTGCACCAGTCAGACGAAGAAGTAGCTGACAGCCTGATAAATGCCTTCGCACTAATGAACCATAGTGATGGTGAATTGGATGATCATTACCAGAGGCATCGAAAGGAGGTAATAGAAAAAACAGGTTTGTCGCCAATGGCAAGAGGTGTGGAAGCAGAGGTGTGTATGTAAATACGGTGGACAGAAAAAGATGTGGCATAGAAGAATGGAGCATCAAATATGGTGGACAGTTCAATTTGCTACAAGTTTGACCTTCCTAAAATGCTCACTGGGAAATACTTGGGGCGAACTCTGTGATACTGTGGAAAGGCTAAGACAAATTCCCATATGGAAAATTGTAAAGTGGATGACGCCTCCCAATGGAAAAGTTAAAATCAATACTGATGGAAGCTTTACAAGGGAGAAGGCAGGAATTGGAGGCATCGTTAGAGATGATCAAGGAACGATGATAATGGCCTTCTCCATGCCAATCTCGTGCACCAGTAACAACCAAGCAGAAGCACTAGCTGCAAAATTTGGAATCCAATGGTGTTTGCAAAATGGATTTCAAGAATGTATCCTTGAGATAGATTCCTTGATCATCGCAGACATGCTGAAGATGAGAAGCACCAGAAATATGAAGCTCAAAACAGTGATTGATGATATATCACAGTCCCTTTCCCAAGTTAATTGCAGCATTTCACATTGCCTAAGGGAAGCCAACCATGTAGCGGATATCTTGGCTAAAAATGCATCTTCTTCTGGACAACGACAATTAATTTTAGAATGGCATCAACTACCCAAGTTGGCAATAGGTTATTACCATCTAGACAGATGTCAAATGCCTAGTATTAGGATTAGGTATGACAAGGCGAACTTCTTTGTAAGCTAAGTAACAGATTATTTTTGTTGGAAGGGCTGTGGGTGAAATGCACCTCAACTTATTTTGGTGTGAGGGTCCTCTGACCTCTTTTTGTAATCATCCTTTTAAAATGGAATGAATGATCTCCCTACAGTGGAGCTTAAAATTAAAAATAAAATAAAATATATATATATATATATAAATTATTTTATAGATTAAAATATTAATATAATATAATTTCTAAATATTTATTTAAATTTGTCAAGATCTTTGTTTATTAACAATTTAATAATAGGTTGGAGTTAAATTGTAGCCCACTCATGTAGAACAACAAAATAAGCGCAAGCCCAAAGCTGTAATTCTATGACTCTTGGCTGTAACTATTTACAAATGTTTCAGGTATTTCTATGACTCTTTTTGTTGTACTTTAAAATGTAAACTGGGAGTTGGAGGAGCGATCTTCCAGTAATTCCTAAAACTTAGCATTCATTTCAGATTGCACATTCTTTATTTATTTTGCTTTTTTTAAAATAAAAAAAACCTTCATTTTAACTTCTGAGCATAATATATTCACATTGTCAGCTTTACATCTAATTAACATATGCTTTATTTATCCAAAGCTGCAGGATTCTCATTTCAATGACCTCCCTCACGAGACAATAGTAAATGTATGGTTTTGTTTCGTTTTTTTTTCTTTTTCACCACCACACTGTTCCAAATTCAGATCGATATATATGTTGTTTATTTAATGAACAGAACAAAAAGAACAACAAGATAATAAGGCTTCTTTATCAAGTGTTCATCAACTGACGTGTTTTCACAAATCATTGAAATTATCTTTCTTGGTGTAGTATAACCCTTTACTTTCACAGTATTTACAATTTGTAATTAGAGATTGACGTGGAGAAAGGACTATGTATAGAAGTTAAGACTTAAGAAAACTGTAAACAAATGCCGTGTGAATGCAATTTAATTGTTGGCTTAATTTTGAACTCATTTTTTAGAAAAAATTTATTTGTGTCTCACACAGCTGACATTAGTTGTGTGAAACCTTTTTTTTGTCTCACAATTGTGTGGATCTCAGAATTTTATGAATCCAGATGTATAAGATATGGATCCACGAATATGTGAGATAAAAAAAATATCTCACACAACTAGCTATAGTTATGCGAGTCACAAAATAAAATCACTCCATTTTTTAGGACCCTTTGGAGCTTGAAGACTTTGGAATTAAATAGTTGGCTTGATGTTGTCATGTTACTCGTCAGCAAAAAGGTGCTAATATTTTGAAGTCCAATTGACTGACAGTGATTTCTCCAAGCTGGCCAAGTGGGTTGTTAAATTAGATGCTCTATTCCCTCTTCTACACCTGTAAGCATGTCCTTTATATTTGTTAAAAAATATTTCATCCGTTCAAGTTTATGTTAACCTATTTTCTTTTTGATCCGTTCTAAAAAGAATGACACTTTCTAAATTTGAAACCAATTTAGCTTAAATTTACAGTTCTACCATTAATGAGAAGCTTTTATAACCACACAAATACTCTGGACCACTTTTTTGATTTGTTTAGAACCATAAATTTCAAAAGTCTTCTCTTTTTCTTAAACTCCATGCCTAGTCAAATAAGTTCACATAGATTAAAACGGAGAGAGTACTTAAACATGCGAAGATTCCTAGAATGTACTTTCAAGAATGGTATTTAAAAATTAAAACGTTTTTTTTTTAAATCTAAAAAGTAGTCAGCGATTTGAACAAATCAAATAAAACAAGAATATGTAATTTTTATAAAAAGCAAAGATCCTCTCTTATCAGGATGAATAGATGATTTATATTTATCTCCATATATAGATGAGCATTTGCTGTAATTGATTATCAGGCTTCAACCGATAGACAGGGATTATTTAGTTCACATGCAAGTTGTCCATAAATTATAATATAAGAATTGTTTATGTGATAATGAAGAAATTGTTATATAGTAATCAACAATGTAAAATTATTATGATAGTGATTAATAATAAATACATTATTATTCAGGAATTACTTATTTTAAAGGTAATTTTTGTTATGAAAAATAATATCCCATCTAGAAATAATATAATAGTGATCAACAATGTAGAATTATTATGATAGTGACTGAGAAATCGCTTCTGCGGATGCGCTTCTGCGCTTGATGTCCGTATTTGCGGTCGTGCTTCTGCGTGTGAATACTCGCTTCTGCGGAGTAAATATTTTCCACCAAATATTGCTTCTGCGAGAAGATATCCGCATTTACGGAACCGCACCTGCGAGAATTATTCCGCAGGTGCGATCATCAGTCTTTAATTCTAGGCACTTTTGACAATTCACATTATCTCCGTTCCAATCCCACAAATACATGAACTAGATGATTGTAAACATATCTTTGGCATATTTGGCAGACCTTTGAAGTATTTTTGAGTCTCTAGACTAGAGAACACAAGTTTTGAAGCTAGGGTTCTTGCACACATACTTGAGTCTTGAAGATTTGAAACTTTTGATTGAGAATTTTTTTACCCATTTATGCAAATTTCTTAATTTTCTTGCTTTTATTGTATATCTAAGTGTGTAGTATTTTTTCAACACTTGAATCTTGTTTATGGGAATATTCATATTTAAAGTGTGGATTAAATATCTTGTTGTGCTTATGTACTGAACGATTTTTATTTATTATGAAGTGAGTTATTGTTTCTTTAATTATTCTTGTTCTTTAGTGTTTCCAAAGGGATTGACTAACTCTAGGACTCGCCCATTTATTTCGAATTAATTTTGGGATAGATAACTTAGGGTCAGGAAAGATTAGTTATCAAGAATTCGAGGCTTTAACTCTCACTTTATAGATTCTCCTTAGGGATAAGATTGAACATCTTGTAGCCATATTTGGGGGGGAGAGGGGGGAGGGGTGGTGCTTAATCTCTTAATTGTTTAAGGGATAATTTAATTAGAAAGTCTTGCTAGTCTTTAGAAGAAGCTGATATAGAATTATTACCCGAGGCTAATTAACATAAACTCGCTTATATTTATAAAATCGTGAAATACATTAGATCGTTACTTGAGTGTAATTCCCTGTGCATCCATGCTTGTAGCCATTGATCATTTTGCTTGCTTTCTAGGTTAGTTTACATTTTCGCATTTAGACACAAATATTTTCTCAAAACCTTTCTATGTGTTTGGAATTGCATAATAAGTGATAATTCTTTTACACGCCTAATCGTCTACATATTGTTCTCTTTGGGATTCAATACCCGACTCATAGTTGGGTAAATTATATTGCATGCAATCGTATATATTTACTTTTTAGTAGTCAATTTGGGCTTGATTCTTTGGCCTAATTATATTGTTTTCAATTGCTTAGCATGTCACGACCCAGATTTTCTACCCTCGTGAGTCGTGATGGCGCCTACTAGTGAAAGCTAGGCAAGCCAATCATTTCAAATATTTTACCTTTTTCATTTTTAATCTTTTAACAGTTGTGAATGTCATTATATAAACAACGGAACTAATAAAGCGGAAGAATGAAATATAACAGTTTAATAATAATACTGATACCAATCCATAAACATAAGTTACATAAAACTAGTGTCACAATCTCACAGACTTTCTAAGAATACCACAAATAGGGTCTGAACAAAATAGATACATGTCTGTCTCTAAAATAGTAAAGAATAGAAGAAAAAACTAGATAGGAAGGGGACACCAAGGCCTGCGGACGCCTGCAGGATTACCTCGGGTCGCCTGATAGACTGAAGGCAACAACCTCACTGTGGTCCAAAAGCTGCAATACCGGGATCTGCACACAGTGCAGAGTGTAGTATCAGCACAATCGACCCCATGTGCTGGTAAGTGCCTAGCCTAACCTCGGCGAAGTAGTGACGAGACTAGGACAAGACTACCAAATAAACATGTGCAGTTATATCATATACAACAAGTAATAATGACATAAGCTAGCAGTTAAAGATGGGAAGAGAAAACATGCTGCAGAGAATAT